GAGAGTTATGGTTATGTATTTTATATCATGAAACAATAAACAAGTTTTTTTTTTCGATTACATTTATAATGAGCATATCTCGAAGATGAAAAATAAAATCGGTTTGTTATTTTGGTTAAAACATAATCTATGCAGTCTTTTGTATTTTTATAAAAAGACTTTTTGGATGCTACTGAGATCCAACACAATGACGTGGACGGAAAATTTCACCGTTTCCAAACGAATAATGAATGTGCATGGTGAAAGCAATTTGTATTTATTAAGAATTTAAGATTTTCTTAGTTCATTCGATGCGAAACTGAATCAAGTGTAATTTGAAAGCCTGGCCTCTTCTTGTTTTTTCTAACAAAGATTCAAAATCATGACGATGAGAACAAAAAAGTCAACACACGAAAGATAACATTGAGTGTGGTTGTCTTATCAAACTATCGTTAATATTTGATATTGATCTTAGTTTTTTTGATAATAAATTTCTTCAGAGAGCAAGAATATCAAAATGCTTGTGTTGGTTGAAGCTGACGAAATGCTTAAAGAAGGATTTAAAGAACAAATTTACAACATCTTTACGTTAATGCCGGAAAATATTTAGGTATGATGGAAATGGTTCTTTCATTTTTAAGATGTTTTGCCTCTCATTAGACTATTCTTCTATTAGCTACTATGCCTAGTGACATTCTCGAAGTTACAACTAAATTCATGACTGATCCGATTAAAATTCTCAATAAAAAAAAATAAGAATTGACGCTTGACGGTATTTAGCAATTTTACATCGATGTTCACCGTGAAGTAAGTGTTCAATAGCCATTAGCCAATGTTATTATTCAATATACTGACCATATATGAATTTATCATGTTTAGGATTACAAATTTGACACGCTTTGTGATCTCTACGCAGCAATGTCCATTACGAAAGCTGTCATCTTTTGTAATACTCGCCGAAAAGTCGAAATTTTAACAAAACCATGATTTCACTGGATCAGCTATAGTAAGTTTCTGAACGTCGTATTTCAGTAAGTACTTGTATGATCAATCTTACTCAACATGCATATTTTCTATTGGGAATATATTGGATTTGATGAGTATCCATTCATAGTTGATTTTTTGCTCGTTTAGAGCGGTGACGTGGATCAGCAACAGCGTGGTTTCATCATGAAAGAATTTCGTTCCGGCTCCAGTCTCGTATTGATCGCAACCGATTTATTGGCACGTGGTATCGACGTTCAACAAGTCAGTGTGGTCATTAATTATGATTTGTCAAACAACCGTGAAAATTACATCCATCGGTTATTCATTTTCAAATATTTGACATAAAAGAAACAATATAAAATTCGATTTGTCTATTGCCTTTTTCAGTGTCGGTCGTGATGGAAGATTGGGTCGCAAAGATGTTGCAATTAATTTTGTCACTGATAAAGATCGAGCAACATTACGTACCATCGAACAACTTTATAATACAAAAAATACACGAGATGCCAATGAACATAGCCGAACTGATATAAAGAGAGGTCGTTTTTATGCATCTATGTTGATATCATCACTACTAACTCTTTTCTATCTAACATATTGCTGATGATGTATATATATTACACAAGAACAATAAGCTCATATATTCCTATCGAGTTTTTCTTAATCCAAAGCCACAACTAGTTCGAGTCACATCATTGTGTGATATGTATGAACGAATGTCAATCGTTCTTACTATTATTTTCTACTTGTAATTATCTGTCTATCTCTTATTGTTTCAATTAGCTCAATAAAAATTCTCTTTTCTTTTCATTTATATGTACTCGCCCATCAAATAGACAGTTAATAAATGACCAAGCTATTATTGTTGTGTGCACAAACTCTATGACTTGGAAACATTTGGTGTTATATAATATGACCAAAGGCTTTTTCACTGCTTGAGATAAAAGAATTAGAAGAGAATAGTATCTCATAACCGAAACTAACTGAAGATTTAATCGTTTATCATCGTTAAACCTAATAATATTCATGCTTGACGTTAGTATTTGTTCGATCGAAACTACTATTTGCAGGTAGTTCAACCTTCGATTCGACGAACATCTTTAATCAATTTTATATTAAAACATCTGCGAACATTTGATGCGAGATTAAATACTATTGATACATTAGATCTTCTACATTGCATTGCTGAAAGTATAGCTATATAGAAAAAAAACAAATTGTATATCAAATCTATTGTTGAAAATATTATAAAGCCAATGATGGAAAGTAGTTGCACTTGAAGAGCGGAGAAAATTCATTATTTTTATATTTCTGTTTAGAAACAAAGATCATCTCAGTAATAGTGTTCGATCTCTGAGATGCATAGTAAAGTCTTTCAAAACAAAAAAAACACGATTGTTTTAGATCATTTAGTAATAGAAATAATCCTATCTGACAATTTTTGTCATCATAATAATCGTCGAATATTGATTTGTATAGCAATGCCATATAAGTGGAATTTCAAAAGTACCATCGCTGTTCAAAATAAATTGTTTCTAGTTGTTGATATTGATATTCATGATTATCTGTTGTCATCTTGATCATTGATTTTCTTGTTGACTAAAACTGATTTTTTTGTTGAAATATTTTAACTATCTTTTCATCAATTCCATTCGTGTGCACAGTATAGAAGTCAATAGTCATCTGTCGAAGACCAGGTGAATATATATTTCAATAATTTTTTTGCCATTCAATACGAAGTCGTCGTAAACCTGAAAACGAAGCCAACATAAATGCTGGATTAAATGATGTAGAGTTGAAAATAATTTCAAGTTCACGAGCATGATTTAGTTTATGCATTGACGACGTCGAAGTAGATAATAATTCCTGCTGTGGACATATGCGAAGTGATCGAAGATTCGATGTATTATCATGAGTAAATAAAATGGTGTTCGATGTTCAAAGGCAGCGACTTATAGAAAAACGATGGAGATAGGGAAGAATAACTGTGGTTCGAGGAAATTCATCATTAGCATGTCTCAATCATAATGAAAAAGTCACAAGTGACATAAAATAATGAGCATATTTACAAAATATAAAATTTACTAGAGAACGAAAATCAAAACCATTTGGCCATCCACTATCAAGAGTTAAATATTTAACTTGTTTACTGGATGCAAGCTATCGAAGAACTAAGTTTATCAATTCTTTGTCGATTCCTTGGAATGAGAGCGAAGAAAGAATTTGTTCAATTATTGGTAAAAATTGTTTATCGATATCAGTAATGTTGCTATGAAACGATAAGTGATAAATTTGAAAATAATCAATGAAAGGACGCTAGAATATTCCAGACTATTGGGTGTCTTGTTTGAACTCATCGAACAGCACATGGAGATCACATGAACGAAGTAGTTTATTGAAACGATGATTGAGTCCATAGAAAGCAAATTAGAGCATATAGACATCGAGATATTCCAAAATAACGAGTAACACTTCGTTACTTAAAGATTCAAGTCGAGTAAAAGTGACATGTGACATGACTGCATGTCAATGCACATGTTACAATTGCATGCGCAATAATTTAAAGAAACAATCAGTATTACGACATTACGTTACAATATTTATCATGACAAAATACAAACACATGTCTACTAATTGTTTTTCAACCTTTTTCAATGCACATAAATTATGCTTGTGTCAGAAAAAAATTATTTTTAACTAGCCTCAATACCGAGTGATTATAGAAAATATATATTCACTCAATCAAGAAAAATCAGGAGAAGACAATAATCTTGTATTTATAATAAGAAAATTGATGATATTTCAAGGAAGATAATTCTAGGTAAAAAGAAATTAATCTTAAAGAATTATTTTTATAAAGATCATTGTCAAATCTTTGCAAGTCATCAGAAAGTTTTCGAGCATATTCACAAAGGTGTTTCTTATCGATTGAAGTTGTTGAACTAACTGATGAACTACTTATTTTAATATAAATTTAAATGTGTTTGTATTTTTAAATTAGAATAAAATTGAATAAGAAAGCTTTCCAATACAGTATATTCTTTGAGTGCATAATACAAAATATGAGATAAATGTTTGTAAAAATAGTTTAATTAAAATGTAATCAAACCTAATTTATTTCATTCACGCATTGTTTTATTACCTAGTCATCCATATACTGACAAAAAAAAAAATAAGTATTGAACATTATTTAAAAAAGGATATCAGTGCAGTGTTGATGTATGTGTATGTATTCATACAACAAGCAACAAAATTCACAACCACAAGCTTATCTTTTTTTTTTCTCTATGAAGTGACTCGATGTTTTTTCTTCTTTCGGGTGTCTATGATTACAAGTACTGTTAGAACAATCGACCTAGGAGAAATAATGATTAGAAGGATTTTTCGAAATTTAATAATAATAATAACTTTTAAAGAGGGAAATTCGAAATTCAACTTTGGCATATCTTTCGTCAGAAAGCGCATCGAAAACTGATTGAAATGTCCAATGAAAGGACAGAGGTTTTTTTCTCGCTGGCAAAGCAATGGTAAGAGAAAGAGAAAAAGAAACATTATATATTATTTGTCTTAGAATGAAAAATCATTTACGATGTCATATTGAAATAGTTCGAGCATTTCTGAAACGAAATATCAATATAAGTACCAACGGATTATACTACTATTCGTTCCTTTTCATTCACATTATTTATATGAACTAATCAATGATCTATGAAAAACCTTGCTTCACTCTTGAAACTTTAGATAAAGATAAAATTTTCACATCAATCACAGAGTATATCTGCCATCAAAGACTTAATTCAAATATATTTGAAACTTTTTTGAATATAATAATACATCCTTGAAACAATGATTCGTGATCTTCGTACATATTGTGATTAAATCTATGAGACTTAATAAGAAAGGTACTGCATGAAGTGGCTTTTTTTCTACTCTAGCTAAATATTTAGTTGATTGTATTCCTAAATTATTTAAGAATAAATGATGCACTCTAAATTACTTTATTTTTCGTTAGAAAACAAGCTACAATTAAAAATTCAATTTAATTCATCGAGTTCTATTTCAAGTTGTTCCGAAAGTCGTTCAATATTCCATTCCATACTTCGTATTTTACCATGCCACACAGTCAAACATTTTCTGTAGATAGCTAATGCTTGCTGATAGTAAGTAAATGCCAACATAGGATTATGAAGTTTTTCGTAAATCTCACCTATAGTCGATAAACTATCACCAATATCCACATGATCTGGTGGTAGCACTTTAAGACGCATCACAAAACAATTCTGTTCATGTATAAGAGAGACATCATGTTGGTCTCTCTCTCTTTGTATCTGTGATAACCATTGAAGTACTTGAGTGACGGAGGGATATTCTGAAGTTGAACTGGTTTCTTCAATTAATAACCATCTTTTTAAATATTCAACAGCGAGATCGAACTTGGATTTTCTTTCGAAGTTAGCAACAATCCAGGATAGACAGTTAGAAATTTCAATATGATCCTTGGGGTAATGTTCTTCAAGTAACATCAATGCTTCTTGATAAAAGTCAAGAGATTCATCATATTTTCTTTGTTGAAGCAGAGTTTTACCTATGGCCTTGAGACTGCTAGCAATTCTAAATTCATTACTAGGCGAGTTACTTTTTAAAACTGCCAATGCTTGTTGTTGAAAGTCAAGAGCTTCATCATACTTTCTTTGTTGATACAGAGCATTTCCAATATTGGTAAGAACGGTAACAATGCCGTTATAACCAAATGGATGGATTTTCTCTCGAATAGTTAATGATCGTTGATAAAAATCAATGGCTTCAGAATATTTTTCTTGACTATATAGAACATTTCCAATATAATTCAGACTATTTGCGACGTCAACATTAGGTAATTCGTCGTTTTTTTCTCGAATAGCCAAAGCTTTTTGATGAACTTGAAGAGCTTCATCGTACTTCTTTTGTTCATATAGAGTGTTACCAATATTTCTCAGAATGTTAGCAATGCCATTATAACCAAGTGGATCGATTTTCTCTCGAATAGCTAATGATCGTTGATAAAAATCAATGGCTTCATTATACTTCTCTTGACTATATAGGACATTTCCAATAGAGTTCAGACTATTCGCGACGTTAATATTAGGTAATTCATCATTTTTTTCTCGAATAGCCAAGACTTTTTGATGAACTTGAAGAGCTTCATCGTACTTCTTTTGTTCATATAAAGTGTTACCAATAGAGTTGAAAGTATGAGAAATTTCGATGTGACCATCAGGATAGAAGTTTTCTTGTATTGAAAGTGCTTGCTGATAATAGTGAATGGCTGCATCATACTTTCCTTCATCGTACAAAACATGACCAATACGATTGATGGTATTAGCTATGGTGATACTGTCTGTTGGACAATATTTCTCTTGAATTTCTAATGCTTTTTGATGATATGCAACCGCTTCATCGAATCTTTGTTGTTGACGAAGGGTTGTACCGATATTATTGAGAGTAGTCGCTATGCTCACATGACCATTTGGGTAATAGTTCTCTTGCATTTCGAGTGCACGTTGACAAAACTTCAAGGCTTCATCGTATTTTTTCTGTTCCATGAAAACACGACTGATGTTGTTGAGACTATTGACAATTTCATTCTGACATGATGAACAATATTTTTCTTGTATTTCAAGTGCTCGTTGATGATAATCAAGAGCTTCATTATACTTTTTTTGTGTACATGATATGATCCCAATATTGTTCATATAAAAAGCAATAGAAGAATGATCAGATGGAAGGTACTTTTCGATTGTTGCGAGTGCTCTTTGTTGAAAATCAATAGCCTCATTGTATTTTCCTTGCGCATTTAGAATGTTGCCAATATTGTTGAGACTCGAGGCTATTGAGCCATGACCTGAAGGGTAATAGCTCTCTTGCATCGTTAGTGCTCGTTGACTATAGCGTAGAGCTTCATCATATTTTGATTGACGAATTAGTATCTCAGAAATGGAATTGAATATGTAAGCAATCTTTGCATATTCATATGGATAATATTTCTCTTGAAGCGCTAATGCTCGTTGATGGAAATCAAGAGCTTCGTCATACTTTGCTAGTTCCTTTTGTACATAGCCGATATTGTTTAGAGTACAAATAATATCAGTGTGGCCAGAGAAACAAAATTTCTGTAGAATTTTCAGCTCTTGATCAAAAAATGTTAGAGCTTCATTATATTTTCCTTGTACATAGCGAACATGCCCTATTCCATTGAGACTAAAGGCAATATTGACATGACCAGATGGATAATATTTTTGTAGCATTGCCATTGCTTGTTCATAATTCTTTAGAGCTTCATCGTGTTTTCCCAGGAGAACGAGAATGTAAGCGATGTTTAGAATGGTAGAGGCAATGTAAACATGACCATTTGGATAATATCTTGTATAGATTGATATTGCTCGTTGAGAGAAGTCTAGAGCTGTATCGTAGCTTTTTTGATATGTAAGAACTTCACCAATGTGGTCAAGACTAATAGCGATGTCTATATGAGGAGATTGATAATATTCTTCGAGTATTGCCAATGCTTTTTGATGAAAGATTAGGGCTTCGTCATATTTTTCTTTGCGCCAGAGAATCTTGCCAATGCCCTGAAGACTATAAGCAATAAGAACATTACTACCTGGTTTAATCTCAATTGTTGTCAACCAATCAGTTCCCTGTATGTTTTGACATATTTCTAGCAAATGTCTTTCGGCCAATATTTCTCCAACGGATTCTATTTTGTTTGCCGTATACTTTGATGGAAGCTGGGACGAAATTTGTCGATATTCTGAAGTGCAGTGCCATTGAGAAGACGATCGAAAGTATTCTTCTAAATTTGAAGAAACTGAGCAGCATAATGTGGGAACATCGTTGAGTATACTATTACGTTGCTGATTTGGTGGCGAGGATCTATCAAAGTTGGAAGACGAATAATTTTTCTTTTGAATTTCCATTGCTCGTTTATAACAATTGTGAGCTTCTTCATACTTTCCTTCCAGATAGAGAATCTCACCAATTTTGAATAGAATATCAGCTAAATCCTTGATATATATTGGTTTAGCATTAATTATCCTATCATAAGCACGATCATAATATTTCCGTGCTTCACTCCATTCTCCTTTCCATTGAAGGACTTCACCAAGACTAAGTTCAATCTTTGTGAGGTCTTCGTTGTTGTTATTCGAATCATTTAATAAAAGTTCAAAAAAATGTTGTGATTGGTTCCATTCACCCATGTCACACATCAATCGTCCAAAAAGAATTTTGCTACTGAGATCCTTCTCTATCTGACGACATGAGTCTTTGATATATTTGTCTTTAATAATTTGACCTTCATTCGACGCACTCATATCAATAAAGCAAATCTCTTCTTCATCCATTCTTACACTTTCCAATCGATAAGTGACAGTTGAATTGAAGAGAATTTCTTGTTGTTTTTCATAGAGATCAGCAACAATGACAGTGTTGTTCAGATGCTGTAGATCACATTGAATTTTTAGAAGAACAGAGATGAGATTAGTTTGTGTAGAAGATTTCATCATTTGATTCAATGCAGTTGAACGAAGAATATTTGTTGTGAAAAACCCATGGATTGAAACTAATTTACCTTGGTTCTCTTTGAATTTCTCGATTTGATCTTTTGTCATTTTCATTCCTCGATAAACTATTAATATTTTTTGGCCAGACTGAACCATCTTTTGATGTTCTCGAATTAGACATTCTCTTAGATCTTTCATAAAATATCGGAATATGTAAAGTTGATCGAAGTCTTTGATTTGCAAAGCTTTATTGATGATTCTATAAAGAAACGTCTTTTCCAAATACCATCGAAGAGCTTCTTCTGATCGATATTCATTTTCAAACTTCTTAATCAACTCCAATTCTTTAGTATTGTCACGATAATAGGAACGACATGCATCGATCATTTCTTGTTTTGCTTCTGCATTATATACTAATTCCAATAGAACATCATGATAAAGATGAAACCAAAGAAGATCAGCAGTTTGTTTTGATAGATCTTTTGTGAAATGCTCATCTTGATCGAAAAAACTAAATGTTTTCAAGTGTAGATCAAGATAATCAATTTGTTCTTGAATTGATAAACATAATAAGTCAAGTTCATCATAAATACCAATCAGTTTTGAATGGTCAAAAACTAAATTTTCATGATCAATTTTCTCCCAATTAAATATAAAGATGCTATCAACTGGAGATAGAGTCATAATGTGAGGCACTATTCGTAATGTATCAGAAATGGAAGAGATGAAAAAGATTTTTTCATTCTGAATTGATTGCATAAAATTGATGCAAATTTCGAGGTCAGTATGGAATACGATATAATCATTGATTTGATGTAATCGTTGTTTTGTTTGTTCTACAAGATAATTCGATTTCATTTTTGAATCAAACCAAATCAGAGTAATGTCTTCTTTATTGTTTATTCTGTTCATCAGTTCTGATGAATTTTCCAAGATAATAGATTGTTTTGCCATAGATCGTAAAAGTATCAAGATAGTTGTGCAATTGAAATGTCAACGAATCACTTCTATAAGACAACAATGAGCTTTAGATTTTGTAATAATGGAAATGTATTAAATTTTCACAACATATGAAATACGTGAGTGCTTAGGTCATTCATACTATCATCGACATCAACGAATTCCATTGAACTCATAAGTGATTTTTGAGGGTGGCAAGGGATGTCTTGTTGTGGACTTGGATGAGCGTTCATTTTACGATACACATACGAAGAAGAAACCATTCTCAGATGTTCGCTTAAATATTTTATCATGATGACATATTTAAGAAAATAACATAAGTTATTTTTGTTCAAAACTATGTATTTGACAAGCAAAAACTAAGAAAGACAAGTCTCGATGCACGATAATCAGAGACTCGAACATTTCGAACAATGAATCTTTCAGTAAAAATATTGAAGATATTACTCAAGTCAATAACATTCTTATTAATAGCAGTAGAAGAGACTTACGTAAGAAGTTGAAATGTACAGGATTCACATTGTAAAAAAAAAAAACGATTCTTACTCATGTGAGAATGATCAAGTAAAAGGGAAACAAGCAATTGCTGTCTATTCTTCATGTAACTCTACTTACCACTTAAAATGAGACTAGTAGAACGATTGATTATGTTTATATATGCTCGTTGTTCGGCTGTATGATGTATATATTATTGAAAGGAAGTGACTAATGTTTTTTTTCAACTTGCGATGTGTTTACGTATACAAAAAAAAATATCTTTTTTCTCGCCATATGATAAGACTACGAGATAGAAATACGTCATGCTATTTGTTTGGTTCTGTGTATACGCTAGATCAATCCTCTTTCGCGTTCTCTTATTCATTTTCTACCTTAATGTGCATTATAATTTACTCAAAACGATGTATATTTTTGAGCAACAAATTTCTTTTTAACGTTTTTCAAAAAGAAATATGTATAGGGGTTTCAAATTTGAGTGACCAATTTGATAGGAAAGTAATAAAATTCGAAATAGTATGTTTGTCAAAATGCTCATGGTTATTCATTTTAGTCATAGATATCATTGTTGAAGAAAATACAAGTTTTATATGTATATACTATGTTTCTGATTGTCTTTTTATAAAAGAGAAACATTATGCTTATTGTAAACTAATCTGAGAGTTAAACCATGTGCTTTGAATAAGACGGAAGAGTGAACTAAGATTCATGTCTAATTAATTCTACAATCAAATATTTGAGTACATAATGAAAACAAATGAATTTCGCTCCTAGTAACCACTAACAATCGACTCATTTTCTAATATTATGGCTAGTATTTATTTGAACAATAAAAATATTGGAATGAGTAATAATTAAGATGCGATATAGCAATAATTTTTGAGTAATAAGAAAACTAGCTTTGAGCAATTTTATAATATTAAATGTGCAATAATTAATTCATTACATAGCAGTAGTAATTTCATATTTTAGAAACAAGAAAAAGGAAAAGTAAGATATTTTTATTTACAGTTGACAATAAAAAACAAAGAAAAATGAAAAAATTATTGTGTTAATAAAGCTTTTTTTTGCTTCAGCTGGTCTTTCTTCTTTTCTTTTTGTATCAATATCTACATCTTTTGCCTCTAGTGAGGGTTTGCACCCTCACTCACCCTGTTATCAAGAGATTACTTTCATATCATTGTCACTGTCACTGTCAGAAATATACTGCATTACGTGTTGTGATTGAGCCATTTATATAAATTATATATTTTATTTTATAACATTGAAAAAATACGGTTTGTATAAATAAATTCTTAACATAAGAATTTTCCTATTCACTGTATTAGAATTGTCCTATTGATCATCTTGAAAATTTAAATAAACTATTGCTCATTCAGTATAGTTATTGTTGATTCAATATAATTATTGCTGAATCTAATTATCGCTCGCTTTCAATTATTTTATTGCTCAATTAAATATAAGTCTAATATTATTAGCTCATTCGCTTCAGGCAAATAAAATTATAGATATATGATCAGTAAAATTATTTTAAACATCATATCTCGAATTTTTGCATACGGATCATTGATTTGTCGAATATATTGATTTATTTTTAAATGATGGAGAACATTTCTTTGAAAATAACGGGTAGGTCATATATAACCGATCTCTTAGTATTTTTAAAATTTCTTCTCTATTATTCCTCTGATTAAAACATTCAATATTTTTATCAAAAGATAGCGCTTGAAATTCTCCACAAAACCCTATATGACTAGACTCTAAAACTGTTTTAGATATATTTGAAAAAAAAATGAAAAATAAAGACATACAAAAAGCTGTAAAATGTAACGGGTTGTACATAATGAATGGCAGCGTTTTGCATCCCATTTTTTCATTACTTACTTCGCTCTACTAGAAAAACAAAATATACCAAAAGATGCAACATGAAAAACTCTACAATTTACACAAGATTGCCTATTTTATAGTTGTACTTTTCGTTTTCAAAATGGCCAAAGTTTTGAGTGACCAAATTGCGACCATGCGAAAATAATTTTTTTTTTGATACAAGATGAATTCGCTTTTTCTTATTTTCTCTTTGTAAATTGTAGAGCTTTTCACGCTGCATCTTTTGGTATAGTTTGTTTTTCTAATAGGGCGAAGTGATGGAAACATTAGATACAAAGCGCGATCATTCATTATACACAAATACGTATATGTATCATCAATCAATGATTATCTTGTTTTTTTTCATCAAACGGCAATGTGCTATTTATCGTTTTATTGGCAATTTATTGTAGACATTTTTATTGATAAAATATTCTCAAAAATCAATTTATCACAGTTCTCTGACTCATTGAATACATTTGTTTCTTGTGTATTGGTTTAAAAACTTCTGTGTAACGAAAAGTTAAAAAACCTTGATCATGTCAGTGAGTTTTATTATATACCTACCAGTATTTCATTTAGTTTCATAACCTTTAATTATTTTTTTTTCAAAAATCTAAAACCATGTTAAGGATTTGCGAAGACTTTTTTAGAGTTATTAAAATTTCAGACAATCAAATATGCACATTATAATTATGCAACCGAACGCATTGAGTACAAATTGACGCGATTAATCGACTACAAAGACTAATCGTAAGAAACTAATGTATGTTATGATTCGAAGTTCACATTAATAATGAAAATTTTGGTTTTTTTCATACGTTATTTAAAATCATTTTAATTATTGTGATATTTTAAGATCAAATGACAGTTGTTCAGCTTTACAACTTAGAATGATTTTACTACCGATGAAGATAACACTTGATACATCTATTTACCGTTTTCTTATCTCCAAAAAATCATATACATTCTAGCAGTAAATATACACAACTAACTGTTGTCAATATAGAGACGAAAAGTATGAATATTATATCTTTATTTGAACCAAAATGAATGCTTGTTCTATGACAGATCTAGTTTGAATATGCAGCTATTATCATCAGTCGCATCCTTGGTCGAGTCATCTCAAAACGAAATATGCTTTGGATTTACACAGTGTTTTTCTTTCAATCAAATGCGTTTTACTTTAACTTCTGCAGTAAGATCTTTCCAGAGGAATATCTAGTTCAGCAAAAACTCAAATCAGAGAATTTCAAACTAGAATCTTGTCCATGTATAGATCTCATGATCCTTAAAATGTTTTCAAGATTTCAGTTGAAATGAATAGATTTCATCTATAAACAATTCAAACAGATTCTATCAAAATTATGATTATATCCTTCTCATCTGTTTTGAATTAACCTTCAGATCGATTTTTACTTGTTGGAATATGCTCTTCATTGACATAATGAATACACTATCCTAAGTTAAGCTGATGATATGTGGGTTTATGTGTCTGTGACAGGCAGTGTACGAGTCATGATGTGGATGGCAATATGGATTTGGATATAATTCAACGGAAAATCAGAGCCCACACCTCTACACCGACACACAAAACCTATCACACTCTCTTTCGGAGGAACTGAGAAGCAATTGGGATTAGAAACTTTCATCATGTTTGTCTGACGGCAGTTCATCTTGATGAATTGATGAGAGATTTCACTAGAATGTGTGAGATGATTGAGGGTGAGTTCTCAGTTTCTCGAAGAATGCATTACTTTTAGCCAGTACTTTTACGTATTGAAAGAATTTTCAAACCTTAGTCCTTGAAAAATCCTTCGTAACTTGTCTCGTACCTTAAACACATTCAAGACCCCAAGCCTTTTTTCAGAGTGTATCTGGTAGGAAGGAATAATTACAGAGTAGGATCGATATCGATGGTTTAATATCCAAAAAAGCCAGCTTTATCCATCTCCAATACTGGGCACTATGTCTCATTAAATTGATGTGTTTTATTTGACGACGGAAAAGCTGGAAATTTCTTCGTAAATAGACCTTGAAATCATTAAAAACATCCCAAAATTTCAGCGAGAACAGATTTATTCTTATCAAGATATGAGCTTGTTAGGAAAAATATTTTTCCTTTCAAATACAGTTTCGCAAAGGTACTCCTCTTAAATATAAATATGTCGGCAAGGAGACATTCATTCTGACTCAAACATATGAATGTTTCTAATGACAATAGTATCTATCTATGAAGAAAATTTCAGCTCAAAATTCGATCATTTAGGCTCTCAGCGATCTTCTATTCATAGATCCAAAACCAGCAAAATAGATTTTTTCACTATTCATCATGATCAATTGAATCACAATAATCTCACAGA